CCGCCGTACGCTCTCGCCGCGGACAGCCCCTCCCTCGCTCCCGCGACAGGATTTCTGCTCTGCTCGACGGCGGCCGGGGCCGTGCTGCGCAGGCCGTTGCGCGAGCCGACCCCCGAGATGCAGGCGCAGCTCAAGTACTACTCGCCCGCCGCGCACGCCGCGGTCGCTCTGGCTCCGCGCGGGTCGCACGCCCGCCGCAGGCCTGACCGCCGCCGCGGCTGTCTCTAGGCCTTCATCCTGCCGCGCTTCGCCGAGGAGACGGCGCGCCTCGGCTTAGCACTGCGGACCCTCCCCGGTTACACCCTCCGACGCCCGTGCCGTACCGATGCCGCAGGTTGCCGCGGTGCGCAAGCCGCCGATGCCTTACGCGTGCACTTCTGGCGCGCCGCCGCTCCTCACTCGCTCCAGCCTCGCGCTGGCCGCTGTCGGGGTCCTTGTGGGCGCTGTCGCCGCGACGGCGCTGGGGAGGCGCTAGGGCGACAGCATTCGTTGCCGCGCTGAGCGCGATGCGCACGCACATGAGTCGCCCGTCGCGCGCGTGTTGTGGGGATCCAACGCGCTATTATAGAGGGGGCCGGGGGGCTGTGAAATGTGCACCGCGCCATGCCCCCGCGCATCAAACCCGAACGACACATCTCGGCAGACTTTTGTTTTCGTTTTGTCAAATGTGCGCGGCGTGTTGTCTCTTTCCAAAACTTTTATATAGGAGGGAGCGAGGCGGGCTGCAGAAGCCAGAACCACGGCGCACGGGCTGTGGAGGATTACTGCCCGCGCAGCTCTCACGGGGCCCCGTGAACAAGATAGTCCACCACACACAGCGGATACAATGGCAGCTGACGGAGTTTTCGAGTGTAGAGAAGCGGCAGAGCGCTGCAAACCCTTCTCCACCAGAGGAAGAGTTTGCCTCTTTTACGTTACTAGTACGACTTACTTATGATAGAAGCCGACGCAAACTCGCCGCGTGCCGCGACAGATTCGTGGACATATTTTTGCTTTCGGCCTTTCGGTTTCGCTCGAGCCCCGTGAGCCGTGTTTTTCTCGGCGTAGTCTCGGGTAGTCTCGGGTGTAGTCTCGGGTGTAATCTCGGGTAATCTCGGGTAACCTCACGTACTGGTCGCGCGAGGCGTATGTCAACGTGCCGCTGGTGACGACGGCGCGCGCGGCGCTGTGCAAGCAGATGGGCGCGCTCTTCCTGACGCAGTGGCGCGCCCACCGGCATGTGTGCGAGAACTTCTCGCCGTGGCGCAACGCCACCGAGTGCACGGGGATGCGCTTCTACCACTGGGGCGCGCTGGCCGGCTTCATCGGGCTGCTCGACGCAGGCTTCTACCAGAGGCCGCGGCAAGCGGCTGCTGACTTCACGATCACGTAGCGCGCGCGTTTTCTTTTGC